CCTTTCCTGTCCTTTAGCATTGTTATTTATCACAACACACGTCAATGGGCATCCCCGGCCAATGTTACTGTATAGTAGGCAGAAGAACTTTAGTTCTCAGCATGATGTGGTGGCATTCACGTATTACACTATTCCGTGTCAACCGAGGAGACATTGGCTTATATAAAAACAATTATTTAACCTTTCAAATATACCTAAATACAATGCAACTGTCTATCTAACCAACATATTTCTCGTTGAGAAATAATGCTAAAGAGTCAAGGACAAAGCAGTGTTAAACGCAATTTGACTAGTTTTTTGAATAATTCTTTGTGTCAATTTTAAGTTAACAGTTAAGAGAACATAGTTCAAAAAGTGCTCTTTCCAATGGTTATAAACATCTAGCTCAACTAAGTATAATTGGCTGAGAAATCACAACTTTATGTGTAGAAAGTGTTTGTGGCATCTATCAAGAGTTCAGATAGATTAATTTCCCCTTTCTCCAAATGTGCCCTAAGGAGCTTGAAAGAAGAATGTGTAAACAGAGCAATTAACCTAGATCATTTCTATATATGGAAGATTAGTGTGAGTCAACAACTGTTCAAACTACAAAGACACAAATTTAATGTTTTGTGAACTTGCAGATCTCGATAGAATAAAACCAAATTTTAGGATTTTTTTCTTGAAGGTTTCTTTTGAAATAAAGGAATTAAAACCAGATTAGCTTAATTACATTTTAAATGTAATTAAGTAAAATCTTGTGACATGCACAGAAAAAGGTGCCCATAAGAAAGGAGTTAAATAATTGTATCTTTTTTTTTTGTCACACAGTGCACACAGTCTGGTTCAATTACTTTAGAACACAATTAACAAGACGATTAATTATTCTCTACTTTGTTATTACAATACAATCTGTGATAATTTCACTTTAAAAATCACCACTATATGCTCTTTATGGCTAAACTCAGTCTAGATTTATATTGAACTAAGTTTCCAACACATATTTATACCCTGACAGAGGTCTAGAACATTTCACACACTACTAGATATTATGATGCAATAACAATAATACTCAATCAATGAGAAAACTTTGAAAGTTCCAGTTACATGATGCAATAATATAACAGTCACAAGAGTTGAACTACACAACGTATGGTTTGTAAACAGTTAAGTAAAAACGTTTGCAATAAACTATTGCTTCTAAAAATAACTAAATGTAGCACTCATGCTATATAACTATGTAAATCATAACTTTCGCACTAAACTTAAATGGAAACAGTTGTGAATATCTAACAATGTGTGGTGGTGAAGGCATGGTCATGAGGAGTGACTGAAGAGTATTAATAATTGAGAAAAACAGGCAATCATCAGGAAAAGTCCAACGAATTTTTCTGTGGTGACCTTGAAATTATAGATGACTTTTTGGCATAGAGAAGACTTAAAATAATTTTTTGGAACTCGATATAAAATATTTTGTCAGGGTATTAAATTGACTAAAGTTTCTTTAATGTACAATAATTCTTTTCAAAACTGGAAACAAGGATATAAATGGATTGTTTAAGGAACTCTAATATTTATAGCATGTTTCGAAATTTTTATTTTTAGGAGTTAGAAAGTATGGGAAAGACTTCAAAGCTATAGCTGAAGTTATAGGAAATAAGAATGAGGCTCATGTTCGTAACTTCTTTGCTAACTATCGTCGTCGATTTAATCTTGATGCAGTGATCAAGGAGTATGAGGCTGAGCATGGGATCATCAGTGATGATCAGGATAAGGATGAAAAGGTTCCTGATTTATTCTTTATTTTATACATGTGGGTTATGATAATTACTTGATTATACTAGGTCTGTTCTATCCCCACTTTACATGTACACAAAAATGTCACTGTGTATGTGAAGGTATGGGTACAAAAATAATATTTAGAAAATAGCTACATACTTTTAACTGTATATAAAGGTATATTATTGGCTCCCATCATTATGTAATGAAGTTTAATATTTATATCATGGGTAAGGTATCTACCTAATCACAATTTACTTATACTTTTTGAGAATAGTTTTTGAACTTGCAAGTATTTAATTAGTAATTCTTTTAAGTACCTACTTACTCCCTTTAACACTAAGTTTGCAGGTCCATACCCAAGTAGCTTCTCACGTAACCAACAAAACAACAGGAGTATAAAAAATACTTTTTTATAACTTATAGTTTTCACATTTCATTTACATAACCCTGAAAACCTCCTAAGTGAATATCAATAATTTTTCTCAGTTAAAAGTTTTTGTTTTTTTTCACTTTCTCTACGATATTACTAACTGTAACTATTGCTGTCAACTTATACAGTATAGTCTGTAGTATAGTACAATGAAATGTTTAAAATTGATATTTATATAAATACTTGTTAAGAAATGTAATTAAAACTGTGCTAGTGAAGAATGATATCTAGCTGGGACTGTGTACAGTTTGATTTTACTTTACAAGTAAGTTCTGACAAATACAATTCACTAATATTACTAATTTACTCTTATTTAATTGAGCCTGTGGTTCTCTGTTTTAAGATGGATATTGAACAGAAAGGAACTACCTCTCCAGATTTACCTGTCCAGACGCCCCCCACCAATAATGGTGCAATTAGTGGACCCCCACCTCCACTTGTGAGACCGTCTGAACTCTTAGCACCAGTACAGCCTGTTTCTAAACCTTACCTTTCAAGTATTCCTCAGCTGCCACCTAGGTAAGATATTTCAGGACTGCTGCTGTTCATACATGCAGATGTTCATTAACACAATAACCTTGTCCAGATTTGTTAGCACTTTTCAGGTGTCAAGTGTATACCTGCATATCACATTTCAAAATTTAAGTGAATATAATAATCTTAACTTATATTTTTGTTTACTCAAAAATGTTTGAGAATTTAAATTTATTTTGTAATATTTATTTAGCGTAATTTGCAAAGAAAATTTTAAAAATGTTAAAACTTGTACTTCTTTATAGCTCCAAAGAGTCTTACTTGTAAACAACACACTTATTAACTCTCGCAATGAGGTTGGTCAAATGAACCAACCACGTAACCACTTTTGTACTCGTTATAGTTTTCGTAATATAGCTTATAATACATGTAGGGTTTCTTCACAAAACTTGGCAGACTTTTAGTAAACATTACAAGCCTTTTGTGCAGGAAAAAATCAGATTTTTTTAATGAAGATTTGTCTGTGAATATATATATATATGATGTTTCTATATACTAGTCCAAGTGCTAAGTGATTTCCAAGTTGAGATTAAATATACTTTTTTCCTAGTCTCAAAAATCTCAAATTTTAATTTAATATAGTGTGAGTGTTAGATTTAGTTATTTTTAGAAGCAATAATTTATTGCAGGCTTGTTTACATAACAGTATGAATCATACATTGTGTAGATCCATGGTTTTGAATTGGCACTTGTTGTATTATTGTCATGTTACTAGAACCTTCTAAGTTTTTCTTGTTCTTTTTATTGAATATTATTACATCATACTCTCATAGTGAGTAGAAAGTTCTAAGCCTCAGTCAGGTTATAAATACGCGTACAAAATGTAGTTCGAGTTGGTTATAAAGTTAGATAGACCTGGACTGTGTGTTTGTGAGTTTAGCTAAGTTTTTCTTGTTCTTTTTATTGAGTATTATTACATCATAATCTCGTGGTGTGTAGAAAGTTCTAGGCCTCGGTCAGGTTATATATATGCATACAAAATATAGTTCGGGTTAGTTATAAAGTTAGATGGATCTAGACTGTGTGTTTCTGAGCATAGCTATAAAGAGTATATAGTGGCATTTTTTTAACTGTAATAATCACAGACTGTATTATAACAACAGAGTATAGAAGAATTATTTGTCTTGTCAATTGTGTTCTCAAGTAACTGAACCAGCCTATGTGGACTTTGATGAAAACAGACAGTTACTTAAAGCTTTGGATACAACTGTTGTAATTAACTGTGTAACAAACATTTGTAGATATGTTTGACTTGTTTTAACATGCCCCTCAGGTGTCTTTACACTACAATTTGTTGAATATTAAAAGAGGGTAGTTTTAGACTTATCTTTTCAAGGCAACTTCGAAAGAAGTTTTCATTTGTTAATTGATAAATTTTTAAGTGAAATACAACATCCTCAAGTCTCCACACTAGCTAGTACTAAGGTCTACCCACTGGAAGTAAATTCAGTATATATCAATAAAGCCACATTCTCAGCATCATTAATTAAGCAATTGCCAACCTTTTATCTGCTATCACTTATTAATGTTTAGCTTTCAATTGAAATACAAATGATTTCACCTGTGATTTGGTAGGGAGGGTTGATGCATCACGATAGTCAGCAGTAGGGTGAGCAGACTGGAACACTTTGAAAGCAGCTACAGGCATAATATTGTACTTGGTTTGCTGCACAATATCTACCAAGGTGATTCTAAACAGTTCCTGAATACCTCTGCGTATCATTTGGAGACTTCCATGCTTCTTGTGCTCGCCTGTTAAGCTCGTGATGCACTGACGGATTTTAATCACCACTTCAAATCACTTTTCGCAGCCCAAACACTAAAAGAATGCAGGAAATGCCTTCTTTTTAGCCAATTAATTTCAGCTCAAATTAAGAAAAACTGGAATGGATAGTTTTTGTTTTGTTTTTTACAAAAATTGTCCCCCACTGGCTCATGAGGGGCCTGTTGATATATTATTTTAAAACAGTGGACTGTGTGCTGTTTGTCTGTTGTTAAAATTTATTGCCTACAAGTAACAGGCACCTACTGTAAAGAATCATATCCACACATACATAAAAACCTGGCATATTGAAAAATATAGATTTTTTTTTGTGTGTCACATGGTAAATTGTCTTCTGTATTTGCTCAAATTGTATTGTGGGCATCATAAAGTGTAAAGTCAACAGTTTTTAACAAATTAGGAACACAAATTACCAATATTGACAAGCTAGAATATAAAATAAGATCCTCTTACCTTTTCTATTCACTGAGATATCATTATATTTAGTGAATCCACCACAGTGGTTATACCAACATGTTTATAACTGATAGAAGGTACTCATTTTGAACTATATAATTTTGTCAGTCTTCCTGAAGTATTTTTGTGGATAAAGCCATCATTACTATTACAGAGCTTGAAGAGTAGTGATCAATGTGACATGATTTTTAGAAATGAGATTTTTTAGACCCAGCTTAATTAGGAAACCTGATAAATTACAGTGGAATTTTGTGGTATCAGTATAGTAATTTAGAATTTTTTGTTATTTCAAAATGCATATATAAATGCTACAAAAATTATTTTTTACATCCTCCACGTGCAATGTTTGATGAGGCTTTTGAAGTATGACACACGAATACAAAAACTTCATAACATCATAAATAATAGAGATCGTTGTTTTCTTTTTTTTTATTTAATGTTCTATGTTTTAAGAAAAATAACCGAAATTTAAGAATTTATTTGTAAACAGTAATAATATATGTACATATGTAATGTACAACAACTGAAATGTGATTATTTTGCTAAATACTGGTATGCTAGTACTAACGCTAAGAAGAGTAAGACATTTGTACTTTGTAAAGGCCAGTTTTATGCTATTCAATAGGGTAATGAGTGCCATGTGATTTCTACTTCTATGGCAGTATTATTAATTGGACGCAGTTCAAAGGTCAATATAACAAAAAATTAATATATTATGTACATCATTACAAGATTTCAGCTATTTAGAATAAATATTTGTGGTTTCATGTTGGAATTTTCAGTCATTATAGAATGAAAAAAGGATCATTTAGATTTATCTCCTAATTTTTTATGGTGGTTATGAGGTCAGTCAAATTAACCAGTCCCATACAGAGTTAAGGTAGAGAAAATAACAGATAACATATAAAGTTTTTCTTTTAAAAAAATGTTTGATAGTCATCTAGGAGGTTATAGAGATTACGCAAATGAAAATTACTTTCCATGTTGAATAGCGAACATTCTGAAAGAAAACGTTCACGGGCAAATCTTTAATTAAAAACCTTAATACTTATTTTACAAACATGATGTTTTGTGTACAAAAACCTTGTAACATTTACTGTTAATATGCAAAATTTCGTGAATATACATCTACATTATCAAAAGTTGTAGTTTGACTACACTCATGGTTACTTACTGGGTGCAATGCACCCAGCCCCATAGTCAAAGAGTTAGTTTATTAGACTAATATGTATTAAATTGTGTACCATTAGAGGTAGCTTAGTTAGCTATTCAAAATGTACTTTAGTAACTTACTTGGATTTGCTCATTTTTATCTATTTTAATGACAATAATTTGCAGCAAAAAATTTGCTGAAATATGAGGGTTTAACAGTTTTATACAGAAATATGTAGTGAGAGCTGATAGTCTTTCTTCCTTTTAAAAATTAACAGCTCAAGATTTTTAATTTTTAAAAATATTGAATATGAAAATTCAGTCTTTTAAATCAGTATTTAGAATACAAAATCTAATTCTTTATAAATTATTTACAGATCCACTCCTCCAAAGAATGTGCTTCATCAACCCCCACCTCTAGTGCGACCAGCCACCACACCCACCAAATTAACTCTTCACACAAAAGTGGAAAGTCAAATGTCCAAATGATAATTTAATAATTTTAGTGGAAAAAGTTCATATATAAGCTCATTAGTGTTCAGTAGTTTAAATCATGAAATAATTATTAGGAACCATTTTTTCTAAAAACTTGTTCTAAAAATGAGTGCTAAATCTTGGCACATAGTTTTAAGTGCAAAATATTTGTACTTAGGTTAACAGAAAATTATTTTCTACTGCTTTTATGTTATAAAATAAAAGTTTGATGTACATGATATTTATTTTTTTTGAACGAGAGTCATGAGAGAAATGAGTTTCAGGGTTTAACCTAAGTTCAAAATGGTGTTTTCACAGAATTAATTCAGCTCATACTAGTATTTGAACAAAGAAAGCATAAAAAATACTAAATGCAAATTATGTAAAAGTAACGTATTAAGATATCAATTTGTTTGTTTTTCCAAAGCTTTGTACTCTTGTTTTATAGTTTTTCTCATGACATATAACCAAGCATTTGTATGTGTGTGTGTGTGTGTGTGAAAAAATTAAATATAGGTAACAATTTTGTTTTGATTTTTACTTGTTTTGGAAAATACCTAGATTCAACTGTGAGATATAAAAACGAGCCTTTTGCAGCATATTTTCACCGATTGTGTGTTCTTTATACAATGAATATTTAATTATTTAACATTGTGTAATTTTTTTACTTACTAGATAATGAAAATAAAATAATATGGAAATAATAAACATAAATCTCACTCATTTTTTTAGCTATTTTAAAAGTATTAAAAGATGAACAAAAACATTTAACTTGCTGTACAAAAAAGTGTGTCTAGAAAATTAGTTTAAAATTTGCAATTCTTTCTAGCTTTAACTGAAATAAATGTTATTCAGTTTTATATTTCAGAGGTAACCAAAAAAGCCATATTTTGTCTCTTCAGAAATATAAAGTAACCTACATTGGTTCAATTCCATTAGAAATTGTTAATTTTTTTGTAATTCTTTCATAAGTAATCTTACTGGTGAGGCCAGGTGGTTAAGGCACTCGACTCGCAATCTGAGGGTTGCGGGTTCGAATCACCGTCACACCAAACATGCTCGCCCTTTCAGCCGTGGGGGCATTATAATGTGACGGTCAATCCCACTATTCGTTGGTAAAAGAGTAGCCCAAGAGTTGGCGGTGGGTGGTGATAACTAGCTGCCTTCCCTCTAGTCTTACACTGCTAAATTAGGGACGGCTAGCGCAGATAGCCCTCGTGTAGCTTTGCACGAAATTCAAAACAAACAAACAATCTTACTGGTGTTTGTAATGGACCATGTATACATATCCTTTTATTTTCTGTTCTTCAGTACTGTTTCAATTTTATTTTGTTTGTGTGTCCACTACTAATTCTAATACTAAATGAGCTGCTTCTGTTGTGCAGAATTTCTTGGACAGTGTGTTAATAATGCACTATTCCCATGTATTTTTGTGCTCTTAAAATTCAGATATTGTACTTTTCCACTGGGTTGTATAATTTGTAATGATAATCATTTCATTAAATTGTCTTTTACGAGTACATTGAGTGTGCGATTATGAAATTTGTAGTACCATATCTATATTTTATGTTAAAGGTAAGAATGCTTGACCTATAAACTAAATTTATTTTTAATGTACATCAGACAATTTGATGTTTCATAAAAATATTTCACAGTTTAGGCACTTTAGTTATTTTTTCTCTCTTTCTCTCTCTCCTATATACTTGTATATATTCTTTAGCATATTTAAAGATGAGTTCTTCTTATTTCATTTATATCAAGGATTATAAAGATTTATATCAAGCTAGGATCTTGGTACCCAAGAGATTATAGAATAATACAAAATGGGTAAATTATGAACACCTGGAAATTTAACTTATTAAATTTTAAAAATTCGTCTGATGTTTCTCACCTAAACAATATATAAAACTTTCTACCAGTATGATTACACAATGTCCCAAACTTAACCAGTGAATATAGTTTACTGCCTACTTAATTATACTATGTTCCAAACCTAAACAATACATAAAGCTTACTAACTGCTTGATTACTCTCTTAAATATTTCAAAGCATTTACTTAGTAGTTAAAATCAGTGTTAGTGTTTATAATAGCATACTTGTATATTTTGTGACTGACCTATCAAAATTGTTTTTTTCTTTTCTGTAAAGTGGGAAAACTAACATTTTTGGTGCATTTTATCTTACAAATAAAGTATGCAACAACTATAATTGAGCAAATTAACAGTTTTTTACGGGGTTAAAACATTTGTTAATATTTTGAGATTCATATTTTTTATTATTGTTGTTTTTTTTTTGTTTGTCACCTGGTAGTATACCCAGTGAGGGACAATTTATTGGTATTTGGTAATCATTGTTTGTGATACAAAATGCCATCTTGTTATTTATGTACTGAATTATATTTATGACTTTGAAGTATCCTGTTAAAACAATTTATTACCTCTTAAAGCAGGATCCAAGTATATCTAGTTTTTTTTATCAGACTGGAGATCTGAGGATCTCAGATTTCAGACCTGGTGCTACCAGACACACATCACATTTTAAACTGTGGGTGCATTATAAGAGTGACAGTTAAATCCTGATGTTCGGTTAAGAGTAGCCACCAGAAGTTGCAGGTACTTCCAACTGTTGCCTGAGTATCTGACCTGGCTCTATAACCTACTGTGTGGTTTAGGTTGAAATTTCTAATCCCACACAAATCAGTACAAAGTGAGCTTAATAAACTTATTTAAAAGTAGCTACAGTTGGTTTACTCCGTTATCTGACTTCCATAAGTGTACCTTTTTTTTTTTCTCAGAAAATATAATAGAAATTAGAGTGAATTTTCTGATGCCCAAAACATTACCAGACCTTGTTGTTTATGCATTGTACACTTTTAGACTTAAAATATATAGATTGGGTTTGAAATCTGGTAGATTTTTAAAATATTTATAATCCTTCCAGGTGCTTGACCAGCAATGTATGGGTCGTGAGTTCAAAACCCCATCCCACCAGAAATGCTCGCTCTTTCAGCCATGGGGGCGTCATAATGTGACAGTCAATCTACTATTCGTTGGTACAAGAGTTCACAGTGGGTGGTGATGACTAGCTGCCTTCCCTTTAGTCTTTCACTACTAAATTAGGGATGGCTAGTGCAGATAGCCCTTGTGTAGCTTTGCGTGAAATTCAAACCAGTAATCCTTTCAGCGTAATAAATAAATTTTGATTTGTTTTTGCTTTTTTTTTTCTAACAGCGAAGATGTGTATGTATAATAATACAGAAAGAACTACCAGTTTTTCAATATAACGTACTTATCTCCTATAACTTGCACCATACCTTATTGCATTGACTCCTCTATCGCTAGCATCAGTATCCAGGATGAATGGACAATATTTCTGAGAATAAGCACGTTTTTAGTGACTAGAGTGCTTGGTCAGTCATCACTGTCTGAAATGCATATAAGCCCTGATCAGGTTCAACAACAGTGTTGCTATCTTGATTAAATTGGCAACAAAGCCAATTATATTTTGAAACACCAGAAAGCTGCATACCTCTTTCTGTTACAGAGTAGGGCAATTCATAAACCATGTGATTTTCACAGGATCAGTGAACTTTCCTTTCCTGTTCGCAGTGCGGCCAAGAAACTCCATTTGAGTATACATATTCACAGCTTCAATTTTAAGACTGTCATCTTTGTCTCCAGAAACGTACGACAGAATGTTACCTATATATATGATTCAACTCTCCAATTATAGAAACTTAACCCAAATATGCGAAGTCTCGCACTATATTTTCCTGGTTTCAACTTCAAATGTACCTTCTTAATTTGCCAAAACACCCTTTCCTTGTTCTTAGTTTAAAATTAAAGTATGCCATCAAACACCAGAATATCATTCCTATAGATTGGATTTCTTTTCTTACTCTCAGCATAAGATCTGTTATGCACCTAAGCAAAATTTCTAATCAAGTGTATCTATGTTGCTTTATGTGTACCATGATGTGGACGGCTACTTCCAAGATCAAAATATTCCCATCCACTGTGCTTGTGTTGTGTATGCATCATTTGAAGAACATGACAGAGAACTTGGACATCTCCCGTGGCCCCTACAATCTCCGAATCTTGATCCAGTTGAGCATGTGAGGAATAAACTTGAAAGACAAATTTACCATTACGATCCTTTTCCTACCTCACTCCATAAAGTGCTACAGTATTATTGACTGAATTGGGTAAAATCCTTTAGGATACTTTCCAGCACCTTGTGGATTCCATGCCATGTCTTGTGGCTGTTATTCAGGCAAAAGGTGGTTCAACCTGTTATTGGGTATAAATCGTTATGAAGTGGCCAGCTAGTGTGTGTGAATATATATTTTATTTTTTATCATTATATTTCTTCTCTTAGTTAACAAGATACCGTTACAGTTACTGTAATTTCCCGCAATCAAACAGGAAGGTCCATATTCTATATGCATATCCTCACTACAAACATAAGTAAATAGTAACGTGCAAAATATATCAATATACATTTAATCTCGAAATTGTTATATGTCAATCCAGCTCTTTTTAGCTTTAAAATGTCTTTCGCTGTTGAGAAAATGCGCTATACAGCTGCACTTGATGAAATAGGCATACTAAAGTAAGTGAAGAGAGATATCAAAGCTGGTGAAGGGAACAAGCTTGATTCTATATTGTGTCGACAGCGGAAGTCACGTGACGCTAGTAACACGTCATGAGATTCTCGAAGGATCTTGACTTTTCCTGGCAACTCTAGTCTTTTCTAGGCGCCCTCTATTTTAGTATATACGCCCGGCAAATAAAGCGGAGAAGAATTGCAGATAGACAGATAATTGAGTCAAGTGAGCGGTAGTGACCAAAAGTAAAGTGCGTGAATCGTTGTGAATTATAGCGTATGTTTAAGTTAAAGCGACTATGGAAATTCTGTGTATTGCAAAGTTGTATTGAGAAAGAATAAACTAGTTTTATTTAAGAAAGGACTTGTATCGCTGAAGTTCCTCGGGAAGAATTTATACCGGAAATTAACAAACGAACAGAGACGTAACAATATCTTTTGAAGTAAATGATTTTTTGCTCAGGAACACATATTTAATCGTTGCTACTCTGGTAAGCATTTCTTGCAAAATTTTGCTTGTTGTTTAAAACACATCAAGAAGTCTTCTTCGTCATCTCCCTCGGTGCTCGAAAATGACGAAATATCACTTACGTCAGCATTTACTGAACCTTCATCACCACTGCTTTCCATCTTCTCTGAAAATTTTTAAATTATCATTTATTTTACAGTTTATTTCCCAGCTTTCTAGCTAATCCAATTTGTTTAAACATGGGTGAGAAGTAGCTGCGAGAACGTGATCCTCATTGACAAAGGCAGCTTCAAAATGCTTCTTAATTCCTGAAATCAAAGCATTAATGAGCGGCTTTCAAGTATGGAGTAGTTTACCACAGATATTTTTTAGATTCGTCAAACATGTACGTGTTGGCAGAAATAGTCCAATATAGGCCTTAGTTTCACTTTCAAGACAATCCAGCATGCATGCTACAGGGCACATTACGTATTCTTTGGTGAATTTTATACTCAAAAGATTAAAACGAGTGATGCTCAGCTCATCACACCTTCATTGACAGCCCTCTTTCTTCTTTTTTTTTTGGCACTATGTTCACCATGCAAACAAACACATCGAATTTCACCACATTGTGCATGGAACAACAAAACATTTGCCCACTTCTTGTTTTGTAAGGTCAACTGCTACAGCTCTGTTTGTTCCAAAGCGTTTGAGCCTTCGCAAATGCCGATTGGGACAGTTTCTTGAACATCCCATTGCTCAAAGCCTTTTCTACATCATTGCTTGCTATTAAATTGAGTGTATGTGCCACACATCGAATATGCTCGGGGAGAAAGAAAACCTCACTGTACTCTGTCTCACTGTTAATAATGTAGCGTCAGTGAGGTCACATGACTACTATCACGCCACATCCTTCTCGAACCTTCGTGAATTATCGGGAGACTACTAGATTGGGGGTAGTCTGGTATATATAATACGGTCACAACGTGACGGGACAATGTGTAATTGAACTGAGTATTGTTGAAGTCGAGCCCGTGAGACGTTTGTTGAGAATTATAGCGCAACTGTTGAAATTAAGTGTATCGCAAAGTTATATTCAAAAAGAATAAACCAGTTTTATTTAAGAAAGGACTTTTGTCGCTAAAGTTTCGTCGGAACGAATTTACGGAAAATTAACTAACGAACGGAGACGTAACAAATTGGTGTCAGAGAGTGGGACGGAAAAAAAAATGGAAACGAGAAGCGGCAAATCAAACTACAGCTTAGCAGATTTGATAGCAGCAATACAAGACCAGCAAAGTAAACAAGAAGAACGGGGAAAGAAACAAGTAGAGAGATTACAGCAGTTGTTGGAGGAAAAAAAGAAAAGAAACAAAAACAGAGACAACAGCAGTTGCAACCAAGCTGCCACTGTTGCGTGTTTTAACAACAAAATAAACAAGAAGAGAAATTACAAGCAGTTGTTGGAGGAA